ATATATATATATATTACATACATTATTCATACATTATACATATTTATTCATATTATTGAGTGTGAAATAAAAATGTTGATATTATATTTCTAAAAATTGTTCCCAATCTCTACATTAATATTCACACACATCACACACATTTATATAAAGATTCATATTCTTCTCTTTAAAAGCAATTATATTCTTGAGGCTTCTATGGGTGCTCTCTATATAAAGATTATGCATTTCGCGGATTTCCTCCGTGTCCAGATCCATTCTTGGAATGCCGGCATTTTTGGAATGGGCATTCCAAGAATGGATCTGGACAACCCGTGGATAATGCCATGATAAAGGAAACCCATGCATAAATGCATAATCTTTATATCTAAAAGCAATTTTTATAAACATTTCGCTAACGAGATTTCTCTATCGTCTTTAGTATGAAAAATTCCGTGGTACAAACTGATTATTTGTTCACTAGTGACGATGAATCCGCAACAAATAATCAGTTTGTACCACAGAATTTTTCATACTAAAGACGATAGAGAAATCTCGTTAGCAAAGTGTTTACAAAAATTGCTTTTAGAATTAAAGAGAAGAATATGAATCTTTTATAAATGTGTGTGTATAAATATTAATGTAGAAGAAGAGATTGGGGACAATTTTTAGAAATATAATATCAATATTTTTAAATAAGTGAAGATTCTAATTGTTTCTTACAATATTATATATAATTTAATAGGTTCCGAAGCAGAGTGCACAATATGTAATATTAACAATAAGATTATATATGATTATCTATTAAATTTCAGAGAAAACTTAAAATTTCATTTGTCTAAACATAATATTAATAAACGAATATTCACTTGCTTGAATACAAGAGAACATGTAATTGTATATTCACTTATTGCTCATATTATACTATAGTATGTTAAATGATTTTTCGAAAAAAAGTAGGTCTTTTCTATACAAATATTTGTTATTTATAATATAATATAATTATAATATAATTTTTATTTGTATTTACAAATTTTAAAATTATTCTATTTTTATACGATTAAATTAAAATCGAATTTTTTGCTACGTACTTTTAACAATGTTATGTTTAACAATGTTATGTTACGTTTTCTAACATCTAGTCAAGAAATATTAATTGGACACATCTGCTAAACGGGTAAATAGATTATAAATATAAAATTAAAATATATTTACGTATAATTTGTACATTTTTATTTAAAAAAATAATTTCGATCTAATTTTTAATCTGGTACATGCATATTACAATTTTAATACTTATTTTTTTATCGCATTTTTTTTAAATTACCTATATATCGTAAATAAATTTATACATGAATCAAACATTCAAAACAAAAATCAACTGATATCAATGGATTCGCAATTTTACAGTCAAGGATCATCATCGACATCATCGAATGATTCGACCATGTCTAAACAACATATGCAGGATACTACTATCATTTGAGGAAGTATAAAAATGTAGCAAAAGAAAAGCTGACGATAATGATGAGTAATTATTCGCTTTGCTACATTATATCAAAATATTTTATTAAAAAAACATTGATTTTTCTTCATGAATATTTGTAATATTATTTACTTATAATATAATTTTTTTTCACATTTTTAAAAAGTTTATTGAATATTTCCATACTATTAAATTAAAACCGAATTTTTGCTACATGTACCAGGTATATAAGCTTAAATCCGCTGTTTTTTAGTCAGAAAAACACATTTTTTTTTCCTAGGAAGCAAAAACAAATTTATTCAAAGTACTTGCCCTCGCTAACTATACATTTTTCCCATCTTTCAGGCAATTTGTGTATACCACGCCAAAAAAATTCCTCATCTTTCGAGGCAAACTACTCAGCAAGCCATTTTCGGACGTCTTCGTAAGAATCGAAGTGCTCGCTCAGTGAGCGCGTGGCCCATCGACGAAAACAGGTGATAGTCAGAAAGTGCCAGGTCTGGTGAGTAAGCGGGATGGGATAGCACTTCCCAGTTGAGTGTCTCTAAGTAGTTTTGGATCATTGTTGACGTGTGCGATGGTGCGTTGTGGAGGAAAATCAGCTTGTCATGTCTTTAATAATGCAGCCTTTTTTCACGCAGAGCACGGTGCAATTTGATCAGTTGTTGGTAGTAGCGGTGAGCATTAACAGTTTCACCAGGTTTTAACAGCTCGTAGTAGATGACACCCTCCTGATCCCACCAAATGCACAGCATCGTTTTCCATCCGAAGCGATGGTCTTGAGGAAGATGTTGGTGATTGAGGGGGACCAAGATTTCTCTTTAGGATTCTGAAAATAGATCCACTTTTCATCGCCTGTCACAATCCGATGCAGGAACGACTTTCTTTTTTGTCTGGCAAGCAGAATTTGGCATGTGTTTTGGCGTTGCTCCATCTGCCTATCGTTTAGTTCATGCGGCATCCATTTTCCAATCTTTTGGACCTTCCCTATAGCATGTAGCCGCATGGAAATGACTGCTTGAGAAACACTCAATTGCTCGGCAAGCATTTTTTGCGATTGGGTATTGTCCTCGTCCAAAAGAGCCTTGTACGCTCACTAATGCCACCTATGAGCAAACAGCGGATTTAAGCTTATACATCTGGTATAGTGCCATGTGTCATCTTCTATTTATTAGATAAACTTAAATAGTTACGAGATATTAAATGTTCACACTAGATGTGTAAATAGATTATAAATATAAATATACGTAAATTTAAATACACTCACACGCGCGCACGCACGAACGCACGCACGCACTTATATATAGAATTTATCTATTTTAATTTGAAAAATAATATTTTAAATTTAATTTTTAGTTTGATTAAGAACATGTCACAATTTTATATGATAATAATCTTAAATGATAATCATCTTCTTATGAATATATACTCTCCCAAATTCAACAACAAGAAATCTAAAAAATCAGAGCGAATGAAAGTCAGCGTGGTAGTTAGTATGCAATCTTAAATATTTATTTTAAAAAAATAGAATTTTTATTCCAAAAAAATAGTACGTTTCAGTTCACTTTGGAACCATTCTTCAGCAATACAATTTCAAAATATTAATCCTTTCATGTTCAACAAAAAAATCACCATTAGATTAACAGATTTGATGTTGTAAAATTTAATCGAAACAATTATATATAACACAATTATATTATAAACATTTCAAAACCATTCTATCCAACAAGTTACAAATTAACATTAAAAAATTGATAACTCACTCGACACAAGACATGTCACAAGAGATAGGAGGAATTCACTTCGACAACAACAATTGATCAAAAACAATTAAAATTTATTATCACTAAAGAGTATTAAGGATGTTCTCTGACTATAGTTGTGTTCAACCTTATGAAAATTTTTATGAAAATTGATTTCACTTTTATATAGTATAAGATATTCCATAAGTGTATTAATGTGTTTATACAAGTTTTTTTTATACAATATAAAATGCCTCCCGTCTTTGCTACTGCCGCCGGTCAAAAAAATAGCGACTTTACTTAGTGTGTTACTTTTTTAATGATTTCTTAAAAACGAATACTGGAAGTCATATTCAGATAAATTTCATATTATTCCTTGTGATATCAAGTTTTATATCTCATTGTTTAAAAAAATTGTTAAAAAAAATTTTTTTACAGTGAATAAAAGGACCACTTTCGAATAAGCTTTAGATAGGGATCCTATGTATATACAGTGACTCACATTAATATTTGGACATTATGATATTTTAAAAATTATTACCTTCTAAACATAATTTTTATTGGAGTAAGAAATTTACGGCTTTTGTTTTAAATTGAAAAATTTATTATAGTTGTATTAGAAATACAAATTTTATTTCTATAAATATTACTATTTATTATTAGTACAGTTTCGAATATATTAAACTATGGCGATACAGAATTTTAATTCTTAATTCTGGTATCGCAAAAATATTCGGACACTTAACAAGATATAATAATATAAATATCTATAAACGAAATGATAATAATTTTAATACTTTGTTAGATAATCTTTTTGTTTAATAACAAGCTGCAAACATTTAAGCATGTTAGAAATAATTTTTGTTAAATAATCTGGTGTAATACGCGTCCATTCCTCTTTTAATCGTAATTTTTCTTTTGATCTTGTAGGCATAATCCGAATGTTACGGTCTAATAAATTCCATAAATTTTCTATGGGATTTAAATCTGACTGTGAAAGATGTAATACTTTTGGACAGTTGTATAATAAATATTCTTGCACTATTTGCGACTTATTATGTTTTGGATCATTATCTTGAGAAAATTTGAAATTATCTCGTATATTCATATTATTAGCACTTTTTATTAAATTGTCTTTTAGAATACTTAAATATTTATTTTTATCCAAAATTCCGTCAATAAAAATTAATTCACCCACTCCTTCACTTGATATACAATCCCAAACTATTAAATTTCCACCATCATGTGTCGTAGTTGGCTTCAAATTTTTCAGTTTGAATTCTTCGTTTGCTTTTCGCCATATCATTTTCCGTTCAGATCCAAAAATGTTAAATTTGCTCTCATCAGCAAATATTACATCATTCCACCATATTTGTTCTTTAGAAATAAATT